GGTGCTGTGTGTACATTAATGAGGAAAAAAAAATAACTTAAATATATATATATGTGTGTGTGTGCGTGTCAAGCCCATGGACTGATTTGGTGTTTGTTTTCCTGTATCGGTAGCCAATGAGCTCGCTGCTCAACATCAAGCACACTAGTGCTTCGAAGTAAGATGGCGCCGCACAACGGGGAAATCGCGCGGCGGCGGGACATGTATTTACATCAATGAAAGGTGGTGTACAGATGTTACAACGTTAAAGAAAATGTGCTGTCCCGATCTAGAAGCGCCCTTCGTTAACTGCAAGCAGTTCTATTCGCCGCGGGAGTTTTGCTCATTCATTCTCGTGAGTGTTTACATTCCTCCGCAAGCGCACGTGAGGTCAGCTTTACAGAAACTCGCTGATCAGATCACAGACACAGAACAACAACACCCAGACTCTGTTATAATCATTCTTGGGGACTTTAATAAAGCAAATCTTTCCCGTGAACTGCCAAAATACAGACAGCATGTTACATGTCCCACCAGAGACAGTAATATATTGGATCACTGTTACACCACAATAAAGGATGCATATCGCTCTGTCCCACAAGCAGCTTTGGGGCTCTCTGATCACTGTTTAGTTAATCTTATACCGACCTACAGGCAGAAACTGAAATCAGCTAAACCTGTATTAAGGACTGTAAAAAGATGTAAAAAAAAAGCAGAGCAGGATTTACAAGCTTGTTTTGACCTCACTGATTGGAGTGTTTTTGAAGCTGCTGCCCCCAATCTGGACGAGCTCACAGAGAATGTAACATCGCATATCAGTTTATGTGAAGACATGTGCATTCCTACCAGGACTCATTTAACCAACAACAATGACAAACCATGGTTCACTGCAAAACTCAGACTGCTCCGTCAGGCCAAGGATGCTCGCAGGAATGGGGACAGATTCCTGTATGAACAGGCCAAATTCACACTGGAAAAGGAGATCAGAGTGGCAAAGAGGAATTATACTGGAAAGCTAAAGAACCAATTATTTTCCAGTGTCCCTGTTTCAGTGTGGAAAGGTCTGAAAGACATCACCAATTAAAAGACACCATCCCCCAAAGAAGAGAAGAACAGCACCAGGCCCAGATGGTGTGACACCAGCCTGTCTGAAAACCTGTGCTGACCAGCTGGCCCCCATCTTCACACAGATCTTCAACAGATCACTAGAGCTGTGCGAAGTCCCCTCATGCTTCAAACACTCCACCATCATCCCCGTCCCAAAGAAACCCAAAATTACTGGACTTAATGACTACAGACCTGTGGCTCTAACGTCTGTGGCCATGAAGTCATTTGAAAGACTGGTTTTGGCTTATCTGGAGGACATCACTGGACCCCCTGCAGTTTGCCTACAGTGTAAACAGGTATGTGGATGATACAGTCAACATGGGACTGCACTACATCCTGCACCATCTAGACAGACCAGGGACTTATGTGAGGATCCTGTTTGTGGACTTCAGCTCGTCATTTAACACTATCATCCCACACCTCCTCCTGCCCAAATTAACTCAGCTCTCCGGGCCCACCTCCATCTGTCAGCCATCTGTTTTCAATGTGAAAGCACGCACGTGATGTAGATTTACCGCCGATTACAGAACCGGCTTTACTGATAAGATACGCGTTAAATATCGTATGCGATTTATCGTGCAGCCGTAATATATATATATATTCATGCTTAGTGTTATTTTAAACAGGACAATGACCAGAAAGACGTAGATAAGTAATAAACTGTATTTCTAAATCAGTAAATCTGCAAATATTGTCTTAAAGACTGATGATGCAAATTGTAATTTGTGGCCCTTTGCTTTTTCTGTAGTTTATAAAACCCAATAAAAACCTAATAAAACCCAAAACACACACAGCTACAATCAGAGATAAGAGGTGCATTTTCTGCTCTTTAGGTCCTTTCCACCAAATTAGCTACCCCCCACCCCCACACTTGAATTTACTGTAACAATGAATAACGTCAAGTTATGATATATAATTTTTTTCACATTCTAAAAGCCATCTTTTTAAAGCATGCAGTGAAAGAAAACACACTAAATGCGCACACGCACTAGTCTAGACTTCACGTAATGTTATGCGTGCGCTCTGTAGGGATGTTTTGAATGGTTTTTGCAAAATACTCGATAATGTCAAATCGCACATCGTTAAAACAACAATTACGATATTATCGCAGACGATATATATCGCACACCCCTAATTCAGACATAACTTCTGTTAAATTACTTTAAGTTTGCTGAACAGGACACTAATTATGAGATGGTGTAAAATCAAAATGGCAAGATACATTTAAATTGTCATTGCCTTTTTCTAGTTGTAAAGGTTAAAAGAAGGTTAGGATACTGACAAATAGTAGTGTTTAGTTGAACTTGGACTCGACTCGGACTCTGCCCTTTTGGACTCGGACTTGAGTCCGATTCAGCCCATTTTGGTCACAAACTCGATTGGTTAAAGACTCAGACTCGACTTAGGTGGACTTGAACCCAACAATAACACCATGACAGAATAGTCCATATATTGGATCTAGCAGGGGTACTGCACTTTCTCTTCATTATCACCTAGGATGATAGTCACCCTTCAAGGACCACACACATGAATTTTGAGATTTGGCCAGTGTTGCGCTGATTATGGATTAACTGTTGAAATTGTGGCTACACAAAAATAGTCCTCCGGGGATATTTTGTCAGTTTGTGGAGCTGGCTCTTTGGTTCCATCCAGAAGCCTAGCCCTTCATTCTTCACTAGTTCCTCCAGAATTGTGCATTCCTTGGTTCCACCCAGAAACCTAGCCTGGTTTTCAGAGATTCTTTTCTCTGACAGCAGGCCTGAGTTTTCCATGTTCAAGCCTTGCAACGGACCATAGCTTCAGTCACATTGCCAGCAGCCTCCAGAGAAGCCAAATATACTGTTCAGATGGTGTAACAGTTGCTCAACATAGCTAAAGATCGTATCTAATATTGCTGGCTTACAGAACAACACAGCTGGCAGATGGTTACAGTCTGACTCATCTCCTGATGGCATGGAGGTTACAAACACCATTATCATAGCATCACTCGCTTCTGATTCTAAACCTCACTGGTTACAATTTGGTAGTGGCACTTGAAAAGGAAAGTACAGATCACAGACATATAGACTTAGGGCACTGTGGTGGCACCACACTCAAACACTTGGGGGATAGCCTTCAAGGCATTGGTGGTGGTTGAGTCTTTATGTCTTTCTCTTTGCAAAGCTGTCACTTTGTCACTGCAGCACAGAGTTCTATATCATGACTTGCAGCACCTCTATAGATTTCTTCCAGGAGGATGTCTTCTGCCAGTAGCTTGCTGACCTTCCTTCAGCTGGGATGATTTGTTTGGGGAGACATATGTTAGACATGCGGATGACATGGCGGGTCCATCAAAGTTGGTACGGCATTATTATGGTAGTGACGCTGGTCATGTTGGCTTCCTACAAGAAACTGATGTTGGTGAATCTGTCCTCCTAGATAATCCTCAGAATATTTTGACATTTAGTGGTATTGTTCCAAGGCCCTCAGGTCCCTGCTGTAGGTGGTCCATGACTTCATACAGCAGGGTGGAGGGGACAATGGCTCTGTAGACCAGAGAGCTTTTAGCTCTCAGGCTGCAAAGACTCTTCCTGAGTATGGTGTAGGCTCCACTGGCAGAACTCAGTCGGTGGTTGATGTCTGCTTTTGAGGAAAGAAGTTGTACATCTGTACACAATTCTGTACAAGTGCATGTTTTTTTCCAGACCTCGAGGATTACGACATGAATGTGGTACAGGAGCTCTGAATTATCTTCCTTTAAGATCTCAGCAGAGATTCCATCTGGACTGCCAGCTTCATTGTTCTTATGGCTCCTGATGGCGTCTTGCCATTGTTACAGTTAGAGGTTCCCCCATGCCTTTTCTGATGGGACTCTGAGGGCTATGTTTGGAAATGTCTATTTCAATTGTGCTTTCACAGTTGAGGAGTTCTTGGAAGTGCCGATTCGATCAGGTGCTAATGGCAGCTCCTGCCAATCCCATGTGTGTGCAGGTGTTTAGGCCACAGAAACCTCAGAAACATAGATGGCCTTAGTAGCACTGAAAAAGACTCTGATGTCACCCGAGTCTGCCAGTCTCTGGATTTTCAGAGCCTTTTCTGTCCACCAAGAATTCTTTAACTCCCTTCCCTTCTGTGGACATTCTCCTTGACTCTGGCATGAGCCACCCCATTGGCCTTTCAGGTTACATCATATAGCCAGGCACGGAAGGCTTTCCTTTTTTTTGGAGATTAGTTGTTCAGTCTCTGTGCCATTTTCATGGAACCAGTCCTGGCATTTCCTTGAATAGTTTTGGAGGTAACGAAGATATGGGTATTATTTAGTTAAACTAAGTATGTGCTGCAGTGAATAGATTAGAATACCGGAATAGTTCTGTTGATAATGGCAATACACAATTTAAATTTAGGCAGAAAAACTTTGAATGATTATTATGTATATCTTTCAGCGAATGGTATGGGGGGAGTGAGGGACAAACTGTATGGACAGTGAATACGTTCAATGGGACTGATTGATTAGTAGTAAAAATAAATAAATAAATAAGATGATACATACTTCATATCTGTCTTTGTGAGTTACCAAAACCACATGTGAAAAAATAAAAGAAGAAAAAAAAGTACACATAATAGTGGCTGCTCGAAATTTACAGATATGAGTTTGGTTAAAGAATATTGTTGTCTTCCTAAAAAAACAAACTAAATGTAAAAGTAATCATATTAAGTACTCAAATACATTAATGACAACTATGTTCTGCTGCCATGTGAATGTGTGCTTTACTTATTATTATTGGTAAAATCCAGTATCAGTCTGACTTATTATACTGTGGAAACTGATCCTTCACACAACACACAGATATACATTTACCTCCTCTATCTGCTCTTGTTTCTTCTGTATAGCTCTGTTTCGTGCCACAGCACATGTCACAGATGAGAGAGCATCTCTGTTGCTGGGTTTCTGTGACACCTGTGGAGGTCACCACAAAAGACATCATCAATCTTTCAATCTAAAACTTTAGATTTAGTATCATTTATATGCTACATTCTTAAACAACAGTCGAAATTTTTTTTAAGGTGTATTCACGTCATATCGTAATTACCGTAATTACAGCATACCAACTTGAAAAAAAGCGTTCACGTCCTCGTAGAACTCATAATTACAACTTGTGAACTGGCTGTTTTCTGAGAGCTACGGCTTGTACCATGTGACAACTGCACCTCACGTGAAACCAAAGAAAAATGTTGGTGCTTCCAGTAGTAAAATGTAAATAATGTAGAATGTAGCAGTTATTTCATCATTTTATGTTTTAAAATTCAAGTCATTGACTTTTGCCAGTGTAGACGTTTTCATACAAAAGTGATGTGAACATAAACTAAAGACATGCAGCACAGAGTAAGATATCTAGGCTATCCATATAATAATAACCTAAAGAAATAATTATAAAGAGTAATAATAATGCATTTGCATAGCAACTGTTACTTGTATTGTGTTTTACAGCTGGCAGTAACATTCTTTCATGCTGGTTCATTTTGTTGACTCTCGCTGTAGAAACGGATAATCCCCGGTCTGAGGACGTGAACAGCACTGAGTTGAACATCATGTGTTGTCATCTCAGAATTACGGTAATTACAACATGGCATGCACGCTGCATAATGCTCAGTATTGCTCTTACAATTGCAATCACTTTTAAGGTTATGTTTACAGACTTTACATACTCAAGACAGAATTTATAACTTTGCACAGACAAGAACAGTAAGTGATTGTATCACAATAGTTTACATGTTATTATACTTTTCAGAGGAATGAGGGTAAACTAATTTGGCCTGCTGTCCATGATGAAGGACTAAAATATGAGACTTGACTCAAGATCTAAGTTTTCCCAGAACTAAAATAAAATTAACAAAAATTCAACTTTGATTCTTGCTATAACATGCATTAGCATGTTGTTAATGTATGTTGTTAGTGTGTTTTAGCACACAGCTACCATGTTGTTAGTGTGTTTTAGCATAGTGCTAACATGTCTTAAAGGTCCCATATTTTACACCTTTCTGGAGTTTTATTTTAGGTTTTGATGCCCTTAAGAATATTTATTTGCAGTATAAGTACCAAAAACCATCTCAACATATTTTTACAGCTCCTCTCTCAGGAGCTCTGCTGAGAACAGATTGATTTTGGCCTGTCTAATTAATATTCATGAGCCTCTCTTCTGATTGGCCTGTTGTGTTCTGAGTGACGCACGGCCAGGCCAACCACAGGTAACTAGGGTCAGCCGACGTCACAGCGCTAGCTGGAGGCAGCAAAACAAAGGGGAAGCTGGAAGCGGCCCATTCAAACCTGCTCAGATGCGGCTACATAAGGAGCTTAAAATATCATCTTGTTGTGATGTTGGGTGCCAGAATCGATGTAATACAGCCTCAAATTAGAAATTTGATCGCATATCTGCTGCCACTGCCAGACAAAAAAACAATGACAGCTGTGGTTAAACGTGATAAAACGAGCAGACTGGACAGAAAGGATCGTCAAAAATGCTTGCGTTTGCAGCGCACACTTCTTATCAGAAAAGGTTCAATAAAGTATTGTCTTTTGTTATGGACGCGTCTACAGATTTCTTGCCATTTGTCTA